ATGTGAAATATTTCTGGATGACATTTTAGAAGTTAATAGCATAAAGCATATTTCAAACAGGGCTGTGGAGTTGGTAGCTAAAATAACCGACTCCGACACCTGGAATTTTAATTACTTTAACTCCGACTCCCTCATATATATATATATATATAAACATATACACATAAGTTACAGCTTATTTTTTAATATGAAAGAAGTAATAAATGAAGTAATAAAAGAAGTAATAAAAGAAAAAACATTGATGGCATAGCAAATTATTTATATTAATTAGCATTTATTATGAAATGGAAAAACTGGCATTAGTTATTTCTAAGAAAAGTATAGTTTCGGCAATGTCTTCTTTAATGGAGGACCATAAATCCGATTTGATAAGCTTCAGAGCTGAGAAGAGTCTTTCCAAACTGACTTGAGTAGGAGGAAGAGCTATTACTGTTAGGGCTACTTCTTTTAAACCTTTTCAGGAAAAATTTTTAAAAGAGGTTCTAAAGCTCTAAAGAAGTTCTAAAAGAGGTGTCTTGCAAGCTCAATCGTACTTTTCTATTTCTTCAAAGGCCATGTAGAAATCTTGTTTGTATTTTTTTTCATTTTTATATCTAAAGGCTCTTGTTTCTTTATTTTCATTCACTTTGCCTTAGCCTTTTTAATATTATGTAAAACTATTTCTCAAAATCTAATTCACCACTGAAGATACTGATCGAGACTCAATTGCAATGTCTGCAGTTTGACTGTCCTGATTCTGTCTAATTCTCCAGTTTTTCTGAGAATAATTTCATTCTTAATGAAAGTTCATAGATGACTTAGCCTTTTTAATTTGTTCGTCATCCAAGAAAATTCTGTGTTTTGGATCTCCATATATTGAACTCAGCAAGATCTCATTGTCTAGCAAACTAGTTTCTCTTTTCTTCATTGAAGAAATTATTCCTTCTGCAATAAACCCTCCATTTCAGAAAGAACAAGCATCCCATTCTCGCCTCCTGGCAATTCTTCAGTCTGCAGCTTTTTTGTGGCTATATATGGTATAGAAAGAAGAGTTTCCAATTCTGCAAGATCATTCTGCAGTCTTTCTGTTAGTGAAACATTAGGGTTATCTACAACTCCTAAAAAAGTTCTTAATTCAAAAAACCTCTTTATCAGCAAATATATACTTCCTTATCGTGTTGCTTGATCAATAATTGCTCCTTTTCCTGCTCGCTTTCTAAGAATGGCATCAATTTTCAGAGTTCTTACTACTATTGCTGCTTACCTAAATTTACTATTGAGATTTGTAACTAATTAAATCAATCGCTTTAATCACCAATGGCAAATATTACATCCATCCTTCTCCCTTATATTTATTTATTAATATGTCAATAAAATAATTATTGATTAATGTATACAGTCCATAAATAAAAAATAATAACTCAGCTTGTCATTAATTTTTTTAATTTTTTTTTTTTTTTTTTTTTTTTTTTTTTTTTTTTTCCAATTCATTTTAATTTCATTTCAAATTCAAACTGTCCAACAAAAACTGGAGTTGGAGTTTGAGTCAACCTGTTTTTAGTGACTCCAGCTCCAACACCTTTTACCCCAAAATCTACCTGACTCCGCCTCCGACTCCACAGCCCTGATTTCAAATGGGTATTAAATTTTTTAAGCACTTTTATTCGTATTGTATTTTTTGTAACTAATTATTGATTCAATTTTGTTCTAGCTGAGCATTTTAGATAAATTTTAATAGTATAAAACATTAAAGTAATTGCATAGAAAGGCCTTCTTCCGTAGCCCCCCTTTTGAAAAATTAAATAATTCTTTTTAGATACTGTGAGTAAAGCAGTTTTCTAAAAATTATGAAAACAATCTTACATATTGTATTTATTTAAAGTAATATAAATGGAAAGTTGCTAACTCTCTTGATTTTTAACATATTTCACACAATTTTCTCTTATTCTTAAAATTTCTTACGAGTTTTATGTTGCTTTGGCTTAATACTTCGTTATTTGCGTCCGAAAAAGTGATTTGGCTGAAAGCACTTGTTTTTCTCTAGATGCACATTAAAAAAACTGAAGTCGTATTATCACTGAGATATTGCGTGTTTCTGCTTTGTGCATGAGAGTCCAAAAACGTCATGTTCCAGTTCTTCAACAAGAATTAGGCACCACTGCGGGCCATCTGGCATATATTAATCAGTGAGCACAAAGCAAGATCAAGGTTGTTTATTTCATTCGTCTCGCCAATGGGCAGCTTAAGTTTCACATAGTTTCCAGAAACAGTTTAAGAAACTGCAATCTTTTGTCTTAGTTATGTCTGCAAAAAAAGTAAAATACTTGTGCACTTTTCAAAAACTTATATGCAGATGACTTTCCCTTTTTTTTTTTTTTTTTTTTTTTTTTTTTTTTTTTTTTTTTTTTTTTGTGTGTGTGTGTGTGTGTGTGTTGTTGTTGTTGTTGTTTCAAGGAAATTTAATATTGCAATGTTTATAATTTGTCATTGCAATTTTTCAATTTCGCATGGTGGAAGGGCCAATGTTCTTAAATATGCGCGTACACAAGGCCAATGTTCTTAAATATGTGCGTACACAAGGCCAATGTTCTTAAATATGTGCGTACATGAGTTATATTGGAAAAAATTACATTTTTCTGAAGAAACAAAAGACCAAAAAGTTATTGATGCAGAATGCCCGTTCTCTACCTTTTTACTGAAGCATAACCTGTCACGGAATGCATCAGATCATGTTGCAGCTTTTTTAGAAAAATATTTCCTGTAAAATTGCTAAGAAATAGTCAAGTGCAATGATAAAAATGACTGCAATTATAGAAGAAATAGCCTTAATAAATTAGTATGAAAAATAAATCTTCATTTATTAATTGCATTAAAATAGTTCCATTTTGCCTCATTACGAATAGAAGCAATAGTACCTATGCAAAACTGTATCCAATTGTCGTATCTTTTTTTTTTTTTGGGGGGGGGGGGTGTTTTAATCCAGAGTCTTCAGAATTGAGTGTAGTTTACTTTCTGTATCCATTTTAGAAGGAGATTTGACAGGCTTTAATATATAGCACAGCTAATTATTAAAAAATTAAAAGAAAGTACAATTCTTTTTAGGATAATTGTGTGCACTTTATGTTTTTGTCTTTGACTTTAATAAAGCTTTTTGCCTTTTTGTATGCTCTATTTTGCCATCATTCAATGTTCTTAACACAATTCTACAGTGCAGAATTACATTAATTCATGTTTTTCAATCAATTATTGATCACCTGGTTAAAGTATTATTTAATAATTAGGGAAACTGATTAGAGTATTTTTCTATCATTAGAAGATGCAAGTTTGCATTTAAGAAATAATAACTGAACTTTCAGGTATTAATTTGTTACTATTTAAAGTTACTTCATTATTAAAAAATATATTTTCTTTACACATCATATTTTTATTATTTAAAAAATATTTTTGTTGTTGAGAAAATTCTTCGGATTTCTTCAGAAATTTAGAGTGACTAAAAACGCTCCTGATTTTAGAGTGTCTTAAGTTCGCAAATATGTAGATGTGAGTATAAGTTATAAAATTATTTTGAAAATATCTGTTATATTGAATCGGAAGAGAAACATCCAATGTAAAATTTATGTTTAGGGAAAAAATCGACCTTAGATTAACAGAAATTCTGAATAAAGCTATCGATTTCAAAGGCACTCAAACATAAGTTCTTTAGCAACAGGAAAAAAAACTTGTCCTATATGTTTAAAACTGTAGCAATCTAAGGTTGTTTTTTGTCTAACTACAAAGCTGTTATTATAGTTATTTTAGGAGCAGTAGTAGAATTCTCTGAGTTATTATGCAGATAAAGAAACAATTATAAACGTTCATTTAAAAAAGAGAGAGAGAGAGAGAGAGAGGCAAGTTTTAAGAAGACAGAACTTTATGTTAAACGAGTAGTGCATTTTTATTTTAAAACAGAATAAGTACTATTAACTTTTTTAATGTTCAGTGTAAAATGCATATAGCAATAACATCGTCTCTTCCAAATTATAGCTATCTTTCACACATAGTTCTTTTTAAATACTGGTTCTTCAAAGTAAAAACGCTAATTTCTATGTTGTGAATTGCATCTTTGTGGTCACTGTCAACATGATTATGTCACCACTTCTCACTTCCTGTTTCAGGAGGAAAAGCTAGCCTTTCTGTTTTAAGTCCTGGCAAAATGTGAAGCAGCATAAGAGAGTATTTTTGTAGTAGCGAAACCATGTATGTACTCTTGTGCATGGATGGATGTGTTTAAGAACTTGATTGCTCATCTTAATAGAAATGTCAGATTTTATCACCTTTTATATGATGCTTTTGATACAACTAGATTTCCATTTTCAAAATTCTTGGGCAGTTTGCAATATAACAATACTGTAATTGTATTCAGTAGAATACTTCTTGCTATCTACTAATCAGTTAAAGCATTTTGAAAATGAACACAATTTTGTAACTTGAAAGTAATTGTGCTGAGCAATATGAAATACTAATGCAGGAATATCCAAACATTAATTTGTGATGTGACATAAACCTACACATGCCTGTCAGTCTTGAGTTTCTTCATGAGAGCAGCTTGAGAGGCTTCTTTGCAGCAGTTCTAGAATCTTCCTGGCATTCTTCCCAGTAGCAGAAACTTTCTTTGATCTTGAGGCATCTTCAGGCAGAATTTCTGATACTCTACTTGGGCATTTGTAGTATGATGAATATAAAATCTTCCAGCAGAGGAGCCATTTCTTCTAATCATCACTGAAACCACACGTGTAAAGTTGTTATGCAAAATTGCCTAGCATTTCACTTTTGATCAGGAAAATATTAGAGCATTTCTTACTGCCAAAGCTCAAAGGGAATTAACACCCAAAGCTTGTCCTGATGGCTACATTGCAGGTTAGAAGATTTCTTGAAGCAACAAACTTTTCACAAAGTATCAATTGCCATTTGTATCACTTTGCAAAACTTTTTTTGTGACCTTTGTAATTTCTTGTAATTAATATTATTATTTTTTTTTCCAGTTTTGTTTTGAAGGTATGGAAGAATCTGGCTCTGAAGGCTTAGATGAATTAGTTTTTGCTGAGAAAGATAAATTTTTTAAAGATGTGGATTATGTGTGTATATCTGATAATTATTGGCTAGGAAAGAAAAAACCATGCATTACATATGGTTTAAGGTAAAACATTTTCCATCATTTTTGTATTATTTGTTAGTTATCTGTAAGCATTTCGTTTTTGATTATTGTAAATCTGTTTGTAATTAAAAAATTTTGGCTGTTAAGAAAAAACTTATATCTAATAAAACAGAATAATTTTTTTTTTTACTAAGAACCGTGTTAAAACATTGCTAAAATTAAAAATTAGATTTGCAAAGATGGTAGGCTGTTCTGGAATCCAAATGAATGGTTTTATCAGATTCTCCTCTTTTTATTGCAGTTTCAATCAAATTAGATTAAGCCATTCATTTTGGATTCCAGCTGATAGTGCAGATGGGCTGCCTCCTGAAAGCTCTAACTTGGGAATGTTTTAATATGGTTTTTAGTATGTAAACCAAGATTATTTTATTTTGTCTCAATTCACTTTTAACTACATGCACCTTTAAAAAAGGATTATCTATTATTGGCTGTTTGATTTTTTGTACTTTATATTCTTTTGATGATACATTTGTAATTTATTTCCTTAGAATGTATCTAATTAGTGGTAATTAATTAATTAATATAGAGTTGTTTTTATTCTAGAGGAGCATGCTACTTTTTTATCGAGGTTGAATGTGCTGCTAAGGATTTGCATTCTGGTGTGTTTGGTGGCTCAGTGTGAGTTAAAATTGTCTTGTTATTAACACCAGAATTTTTAATTAGTTGCAAAATGTATGATTTATATGATAAAACCTTTTTTTTTTTTTTTTTTTTTTTTTTGGTACAGATATGTTAATGAAACTAAAACATTTATTCATATAAATAATAGTAAAAAAAAATTACTGTGAATAGATATGTAATAAACCTGTAACAGGTACTTGCATATTAATCTGTCAACCATGAAACGGTTGCCAAGTAGCGAGATTTATCATCAGTTATTGATAAGCATGATATAATGACACACTTATAACACCTATGCTTTCGTTTGATGTAACCCCAATTGATTCTTGATAAGCCATATTTTGGTTTTCTGTTACTGCTTTCTGTTTCCGTATTGATTTGCATTTGTTAACACTCTATTTTCTATTACACAGCGCCAAATATTCCCCTAGCGGTGACTTTTGGAACTAATTTGTTTTTTCGCGGAATCCTTTTCAAAATGTGGCTCATTCTCGCAAATAGATCGCGCTACAGAACACTGTGAGCACTGTTCGTTGAATTATGGCCACCCAGTATATGTTTATTTCTTTGGATTGCTTTGCAATGAAATGAGTAAGATAAATTAAATTTTTATAATATTCTTAGTTGTTTCATTGTATTTTGTAGCAAATAAATAAAACCATTCACTTATTCATGCTCAATGTAATAACTAGTAAAATATGCTTAATTGTTCTATTTGGCATGGAAGATCAGAGAAAGTCGGGAAAATTAAAAATTGAATTTCAGTGAGAGTACTTCAACCAAGGCACAAAAGACTGTAATATCATATGTGTAGCATTAAAATACAAAGCTGTATTTTCTATATTTGATTGCTAAATATTTAAGACAACATAGCAAGTACATGTTCCCATGCTAAAGAATGCAAGTTCAAATCACATCAAACATGAAGACTCTGTTGGTGGCTTATGGTTGACAGTAATGTTCTTGTCCAGTGGGAACACATAAAATCTGCCGGTTTGAGAGACTGGTGTTAAGAGAAGAGGAGGCAAATCCTATGGCTTCCATCTCTTAAGGTTTTCTCTGTCAAAAATGGAAGAGCTGAATAGAGTTATATGATCATCATGAGTGTTCAATTTATGACCGAACAGTATTAATGTAATTCATGACACCTGACGATGTGGCTATTAATGCAAATAGGACTAGTGTCAGATTGCCAAAATTGTTGCTGCCCCAAGGAGATAGGATTTAGCAGCGAAAGCATTAGTGATGCTCTGAATGGGACTTAGGACTATAACCAATAGTAGTTGTCACTTGGCCGTGAAAATGCACTAATTGGTACTTCTTATTTCAATATGAATCATGTTTCAAAAATTTAGATCTGAAAGAGAAGCCATTAGATTTTTTTGTGCGTATAGTATTACAGTATACGTTAGTAATTTTGATAATTATTAATAAATATTTTTATTCTGGGCATTTAATGCATATTTTACAACATGCAGTTTGAGCTAGTTGGAGGCTTAGAGGCAAGAGACTGCTGAATATTGTCAGTTTAACAGCGATTCAAATCTTGGTCAACAGATGGCTACATGAGCATTTTTGTGATTTTTCCTACATGTAATATGGATTTGAATCAGTTTCACTGAGAAAGTTTTCCATTAACTGCTTCCCTTACACATTTTTTTGAAAAAATTGCAAAAAATCATCACATTTTTTTTATTTTATTATTAAATTCTAGGAAACGAAACGAAACAAAATATATAGGTTTCAAGTTGATTTTTTATTTTTTTTACAGGTGTAAAAGCATTTAGTTTTTATATTAGTTTACTATCCCAAGTTATATAAAATTAAAATTAAAAAAATTAATTAAAAAAATTAAATATTAGTTGTTGTATGAGAGTTTTTGAAACAAGGGACAACACAAAGTGATATCTAACATTCTATACACTGGTAATCTGGTCTCTTTTCTTATTGGCTTACCTCTGGAATCTCTTTTGCGGGAGCACAGAGGACACTGTCTCATTGGATTTGATTTTTTTTCAGTAGCAGGAATAACATCTGGAAAATGCCTTGAGGTCCTGCCAAAAGAACCGCGAAACCATCAAAACTTGGCGAATTGCCAATAAAAGCTGAATATTTCCTTTCATTTTCTCCAAGCCAAGTGAAGTGATAAAACAAATCGTACTGACAAATTCTGCTTTGCCCGAGTTTTCTTGGGATAATAATTAACTGCAATATATACGAACCCGGGATAACTCGGGATAATCAGGCAAGCGGTTAAGGCAACTTTTCCCTCAGGCAGATAGATAGATAGCCATTGTGTAGTTTGCCATAATCTGGTTAATTTTAATTCTAATTAATAATAATTTTCATTAAATTAAAGGCTCACAGCTCCCTTCCTAAATTATTCTAAGCTGTTTCTTCATCTCGTGAACTTTAAGCTGTCAAGATTTCATTGTGTGTATATTTGTGAATATATTACATATCATTGATATTTCCATTCTCTCTCAAATCAGGCATGAAGCTGTGGCTGATGTGATTGCATTAATGAACTCGTTAATTGATGCAAGAGGCAATATATTGATTCCTGGTATAATGGATGATGTTGCTCCTGTCACCCCAGAAGAAGAAAAATTATATGAGAGCATTGACTTTAATCCGGTATGAATATATTTATGGGTTAAAAAAATTATAATTTCGAATACATAAAAATAAGTGCATATTAGTTAGATTTAACATGTATTTTGTTTATTAGCTCAAATGGACTATTAGAATTGAAACGCAATTTTTGTGTTGTTTCACTTGATTGCATTTTTTTATTCGAGTCCATTGCCATTCAGAAAAATATTAGATATTATTTGTTCATATTTAGGCTGTTATTAAGTAATAAACTTAACTATTTAAAAGCAATAGATGCAGTTCTTAAGAATATTATTTTTTACTTTTTTAATGTGATTGATTTAAATTAAAATACATTTTAATTCATGATATTTTCTAATTAAAAACATTAAATATTTTTATATAATTACATTACGTATTTCTTAACGTTTTAAATACATAGAAGATATAAAATGTTCCCTCGTAGTCTAAATTCATATTCGTCTAATATCTTATAAAATGTTTTTCTGTTCTCTCAAATAGATGTCTATCCGGAAGATGTAGTTGATATTCTATCAAATAGATGTTTCTGTTCTATCTGTAATGATGTCTATCATTAATCTCTATTGATAAAAACATTAAACTTTAAAAGAACCTTATTGGGCAGTCATTACCTTTTCAGATTTTTAAAAATTATTTTAGAAAAGATGGAAATATATTTATATTAGAGTTACTTCATAAAAATATGAAAAGCGATGCTATAGGTTTTGCATTTTCATATGCTGTATTTGTCATGTTTTGAAGTAACAATACTGACATGTTTGATTATGTATCTTGCACTTACAAGAAAAAAGAAAAGATAAGTAATAGTATATTTTTGTTAGATGCATTTGTCTATGTGCTTTATTAGTCAGGAATGCTAACTAAAATCAGTCTGTTATGCAACACATTTTGCAAATTATCACTAGACCTGTTAGAACATAACTGAAACTGTTCAATGTGCAGGGTGGTCTTAAAATAAACTTCCACGATATATGAACTCGTAGCAGCTAGTCGCTCAACCAATTGAAATTACATTTCAGATAATGTTATTTGAGGGTATACACTCAGGATTGTGATGATTTAAAACAATAGAGTTCTCATTGTTATGTTTACATTGAAAAATTTTCAAGGGCAACACAAATTTTTTTCTTCACAAATCAGTGATAGAAAAACTATAAATGGCATTGGAACCACGCACGTGTGACAAAAACTGCCAATGTAAAACATTTGCAAAGAGCATTTAAAGAACCGATGATAACATTAGAGAGGGAATAAAACTTTTATTGGAATTGCAAGTTTTCAATGTGTACAACATTTCAAGTTAGAGTCATCTCTTGTAACATCAGAGTTTCATGGCCACCTTGCTGTCCCAACCACACTCTGATGGATTATTGGTTCTGGGTTGTCTGAAATCTGAAGTGTACATATGAAATCCATAAGATTTATCAGAATTGAAAGATGCCATTAAATGTGAAGTTATAAAGATTCCTCTTGCGACGTTACATTTGTCATTGTTGTCACCAATCTTCTGCAAGCTTAATTCCAATAAAAGTTTTTATTTCTCTCTCTCCTGTCTTGTGTTGTCATTGGTCCTTTACAATGCTTTTCTTTGCAAATGTTTTATGTTGGTAATTTTCGTCATACATGTATCCTTCCAACGCCGTTATGGTTTTTTAATGTGTTGATCTATTTGTGCAGAAAAATTGTGGGTGTTGCTATTTGAAAATTTCAAAATGTTTTCACTAACCATACTGTGAGATCTATCCCTGCCTTAAATCATCACACTCTCTAGTGCATACGCCAAATAAAAATATCTGAAATTTCATTTCGGTTAGTAAATGGATAGGTCACTAAGGCTTCATATATCTTAGAAGTTTTTTTATGACCACTCTGTATTTTTGAAAGGAGATTTCAAAACAGAAATATGAAAAATGAATGCATTCATTATGGTTTGGAGTCTCATTTGGTAGAATATAAGTACAGTCTTCTAAGTGTATATTTAAAAGTAAATAAGCAATTTAAAAATTGAGAAATGAAAAATGCTTTTATCACAGTCTTGTCAAAGACAAAATAAAAGAGATAGAAATTTTTACACTGTCCTAAAATGTTTTTAGTTGTAAAGTCTTAGTTTGCTATGTTAAATTGAGCATCCAGATTTTGGATTAAACTAGCATAGTTAAAGTAACAGCTAGAGCAGGCCTCTTGACTAAAAAATATTAAGAAAAGGTGTTAAAAATAAAAACTTCATGATGATGTGTTTCCCTGATACATCATATTAGTATTTGCTGCAAAAGCCATGCTAAGGCTTTTTTTCAGGAGATGTCTTATTTTTTTATGTGAAATAATTAACATTTGTTAATGTTCAAGAAACAAATTTTTTCAGGTTCAAGGAATATATTTATTCATATTCAAGACGCATTCAGAAATGAACAAAATAATTTATTCTAATACAGCGATGTTGTCTTTTTCTGGAACATCATCATAAAGCTCCAAATCATGATTTCTGGCCTGAATTTTTTGCAATTTTAATTACCTTTAAGGCAATTGGCAACACACCTGTGTGTTATTTTATTCCATGCATTCTTCTCCCAAATATTAGTTTCTTGTAGCTTAGGCTTCACAAAGTCTTCTTGTTGATTTCCATGCATTCTATTTTCAATGCATAACTGGTTATTGCAATATCAAGAGTCTGGAGATATGCAGCCATTTCTGAGGGAGTCACTATTTGATCAATTCTTCTTTCCGCAAGGAAGTTCATGGTTTTAGTGCAGTGAGTGCTGTTAGAATCCCACACTAGCATACCTCTTTGGCTGCCTCAGCAAGTGGTAGAAAAACATTGACCGACTTTCTTCTTATTGCTGCTTGTGTGCATCAATCTTTTTCAGTCTCAAGAAGATAAATATCTTAAGCACGTTTGATTTCCTCTTTCTTGTCGTTAGAGACAATTAGAGGGAAAAAATCATACTTTCCATCTAGCTCAATTTGCCAAGATGCGTGTAATGTGTGCACTTTCATAACCAGTGAAAGGAATGTGTATCACAGAGGCTCCCTTCTTATCGATTGTAGTTTGAGACCATTGACTCATAAACACTGCAGTTTCATCCATAGCAGTCATTTTGAGATTGGTTTTTACAAAAGTCGATGTATCAACAAAACTCTTGAATGCAAGTGCACGCTTAATTACTTCACTATCTTCCAGTTTGAACAGTGTTGTCAATCTTCTTAGAGACAGTTTATATTGCTGAAGGAAGCCATCCAACCACTGTTGCGATGCTTTGAATTTATCTGGCAATATGTCTAGCTGTGGTGCCACTGCAAGGCAAATGATTGAATATTACCCCTGCCAAACAACAAACACCTTGCTGTTCTGACAGAAATTCATTCAGAAATGGTATGTTCCAATTCAGGAAATAATGGTTGGCAACCTGATCCACACTTGCGCTTCTTGGTATTTCTCTCGTCTTATTGTACTCTAATCACCATTTTTGGTCCATTCATAGATCCGACTTCTGCTCTTTGCAGAAAGCTAAGATTTTTTCATGGAGCCTTTCACAATTCCTTTCTCATACTTGATGGAAAGCTCTTTATTTTTTGTCTGAGCATCAGAATTTATTATTAAATTTAGTGCTAAACATCCACTGTTAACTTGATGTTTTGAATACAGAAGATTCTAATTTGTTGCAACCACATCTGTTTTGTTCTAAATATGCATGTGTGTTGCATCTGCACTTGGCCATTTGACAATAAGGTGCCCCTGTGGATAGAACAAATGTTAGTAGATTTTTAATTATTTAGTTAAAATGTAATGTTTATTCAGTTTATTAAAACCGATCTTGTACCAAAAATCATACTGTTATCATGTAGAAGTATTGCAGTAGTGAAATATATGAATCATAATAAATGCTTAATGTAGAAGAATATGCTTGTTTTGTAAACAATTAATATAAATCTCATGTTGCCACGTAAAGGATATGACAGTTGTCATATACTATAATAGTTGTTTACATTATTGTTCTTCGTGGTTTTCCCAAAGCGTAAAATGAATAGGAACCAGTTTCTGTTTAAAAAAAAGTATTTCACAAAAGCATCCCTCCCCTTAGACAAATAGCTCTTATGAGCTATCTGTCTAAGGGAAGGGATGCTTATTTAATCTGCCACTTCAATTCACTTCAACCCCATAATTGCCCGAAACTCTGTTTTATCTATCCAAAACAAACTTCATGTATATAGATCCATGCTGCGACCTATTATCACCTATGCCTGCCCAGTCTGGGGTTATGTGTGTAAAACTCACATGCTGAAAATTCAGCAAAGCCAAAATGTTATGCTGAGGATTATATCCAATAGTCCTTGGTTTTTCAGGAACGAGGCTATTCAGAACGAGTTAAATATTGAAAGCATTAGTATACACATAGCAAAAATAGCACGGAAATTCTTCAACAACATCGAAAAGATCAACAACAGCTCTATCCCAAGATTAAATTATGATTATACCAGCGAAGCACAAAAAAAGACCCGGAGCAGTTCTCCGGCACTTAATTTAATTTTATCAACTGTTTTAAGTACTGCTTTTCTGTATTTCTATATTTGTTTTACGTTTGCAAATCTTCACCTTTCATATGCAACCCTTAAAAGCACACACTCATGTGTCGCCATCTGTCTTTCAGAATATGAATCACTAATTCGTTACACCAACACCTTGTATGTTACAAAATATCTCATTTTAATACTTATTTTTCAGAACGCATTACAATTAGGCCAACTTATTTCAGTCCAGGATCCCTTTACTTGTCATTATTGTATTGTAACTTGATAACTTTCTTATTATTATGTCAAATAAATGTACTCAGGATTTCAACCAAGTTTAAACTTTAAAATTTGCTCCACCAATGCCTGTCGAGCAAGAAAATGCACTCTCTTTCCAGGACACCCATTGGATCAGATGACCAGTAGCTTCTCCCATCCAGGCATGGACCTGCCCTGCTACTTGTTTCTCACTCATTTGAGCGCCGGATGTCGAAGCAGTAACTGTTACGCTTATCTCTCTTGATAGACGTTCTGACTGTACGATTTGTATATAAGCAAAGCTCATGAATTGACTATCGTTCGGAATTGCTTATCTTTACCTATGCCATGATACAACGACCATTGAATTCTCTTGAGGAAATTTCATTCTTCCTCAATTATATTCTCCAATATGTTGTGCCAGGAAAGATATGCCTATTTAATGCCTATTTACAATGAATTCCTCACAGGATGTGGCTGTCCCAGCCTAGGAGCCTGCTGAAGTGCCCAGCACCTGAGCCTTCAATTCACTTTTTTTTTTTTTTTTTTTAATTCACTGATATAAATTGTGCTTTGTTAAAATGAATTTGGCAAGAGATATAATTATTTTTGTGCATTTTTAAAATCCATTAATTAAAAATATAGAGTATTATGCAGAATGCTGTGTATAGTTCCTTGTCCTCCCCCCCTAAAAAAAATTTTTTGTATCTTTTTCTGACAGCTAGAACTGCTAATTTATATAAATGCCTGAAGTTAGAAATTTCTAAATTTTTGCATTTTGATATTTAAGAAATGTTATCTAGGTTTGTATATTAAACAGATTTTAAATTTATTACTTTATTATAAGTTAATTGTATTTCACATGTAAGTCTAGATTTTTGTAAATTAAATGTCATATTTATTTATGTTTTTGTTTGAATCCTTTTTAGGAAGAATTTAGATGTGATATTGGCTGCAACAAATTAGTACGCTCAGATGCAAAGAAAATTCTTATGAGAAGATGGCGTTATCCTAGTGTATCCTTACATGGTAAATTTTAATTTCATCCTGTTTACTGACTTATTTATTCTTGCTTTTGCATTTCTCTGATTATTTTTTGTGTTTTTAGTATATTTTTAACCCTTTATTATATACATATGGCATAGAATATTTTTTGTGATATCTGTAAGAACGTATATATATGTGCATGTTAAAATATGTCAAAGAAATTAAGGCAATATATGAAAAGTACACAAATCCAGGTATGAAATACCAGCAAAGTTTTTGCATTAAAATCAAAAAAATAATTTGTTCTCAAAGTAGTTTTGGGAAATTTGTGCTTTCTTAGCAAAAACCCTAGCTGCTCAGAGGGTTAAATTAGGCAAACTTTTAATTAATGGCTTTTATAGTAAGCTTTTCTACAAAATCACCATTAACAATAAAATCTGCATCTTTGTTATTGAGAAACCTTCCTTCTTATGGAAATTGATATATGTAGCAACACTTTGATATGTATTTTTAAAAATTGAAGGTAGGGAAATTGTGATTTAAAGTTCTTATTTTAACCTCACCCGACTACCCTAAGAAATAAAAATAATTAAGGATTGCTAGAGAATCTATATATATATAACAAGTCGACAGGATTAACCTGGTGCAAGTTTTCCCGAATGGATTTCGAACTCTGCTGCCTCAAACTACCAGTGAATCATCAACTTCGTTTCCATGTGTGATTTAACGGCATATTTTAAAAGGGCTTTGAAATCATCGAGTATTTGTGAGTTCAAAAGTGAAAAGTATTTCGAATCAAGGTCAGTGCCTCCAACAAAGTGAAATATCATTACTGGTTGTCACTCGCTTCGAATATTTACAATGTTTATTCATTTCTAATCATTACGTAAAAACAAAATTAAACATCCAAAGTGCTTTGAAGGTCATCAACCTCATTAGTGAAATAAGAAATACTAAATTGTATTTTGTGCTCTCTTGCATGTTCAGTGCTTTATTTAGAAAATTGTTCATATTCTAAGAATGCTATATTATCATACGTCATCAAATATGATAGTGAAGTGGGTATTAAGTTCCAAGTGGAGTAAGTTCTGTTTTTGAATGACTTTGCATTATAAGTAATTTTGCATTTATAAGTAGCTGTGTTGTTTTATGATTTGTTAATGGTAATATTTTGCTTAAATCATATTGAGATCAAAGTTAATAATTTTAAAATTTTATCATTTATTTAAAATGTAGTTTTGCATTTCTGAATTGGAAAATAAAAATTATTGAATTTGATAAAAATTAAGTAAAGAATTTGAGGGTTTGACTTAGGGAAGGTTCCTAATATGAATAAGATTTTTGTGCTAATGTTTAAATTTCTTTGAATTTATATATTTTAATTTTTACTGTATTTGAAGAATGAAATTATTGTTTGAAAATTTTAAATTCTAGGAATTTCTTTAATGTTTTTATGATAAACGTTGAAGGCTCTCACCTTATGAAAAAATACATTTTTTTAATCTAAGTATTTTTATTTTTTCATAAAATGGAGTGTGTTTTTAATATTCATATGGAATGACAGCAGTTCGAAAAAGGCCAGTTGCCTCTACAGAAGGAACGGAGGCCTTTTCTACAGTAACTGCTAATTTGGCAAATCTTTTGGCCACTGGTGAAGAATATTAAACACCAGTTTGCTCAACTGATAAACCAATATGATGGAAATGCTAGTATTTAGATAAAGTTGTGGAGTCTTCAAGTTTTGTAAAGAATAAGTAAATTTTAAAATGTCTTAATAATAGTGAAAAATTTGAAATTGTGTTTATGAATGATGTTTTACAAAATTTTTATATTTTAAAATACCTTCCCTAAAAAACATAATTAAATAACATGAAAGTTGGCATCTTAATTTGTATTATAATAGAAATATTTTCATCAACAAAAATTGGAAAGACTTTTATTTGAACATTTACTTTGTGTAAATAATTTGAACTTTTACCATGTGTGGAACTTTCAAGAACTTTACAAAATTTCATTGGACATTCTTACCTCAGAACTCTAAAATATGCTATTGTTTAAAAATAATACAGTGCTAAAATTCATAATTCAATTCAAAATTTTATGACTTTCAATGAAATGTCAAAATATCGGTCAAAGTTTTATGGCAATAATTTTTTGTTTAAAAAAAGTAATATGTTTTGTATTTTCACAATTATAACTTTTAACATTTTGCTGCTCTAATGCTTGTTTCTTCCACCCTGCTCACCCAACCTTTCTTTTGAAGGGGGGATATGTAAGATATAACAAAATATGATAGCTGTTTCAAAAAAATAATTGACGACCTCAAAATTAACATTCTAAATTTGGTAATCTGCCCCTAAATTCATCTCTTCTCACAGGTTCCAGACTTTTCTATCTTATGTAACGTTTTAATGCAGATGCCTCTCGTCCAATCAAATTAATTCTAAACCAAAACTGTGAACTGAAACTTTTCCGACTCCCAGCCCTTCTTCCTATGAAAGTACTATATACTCTGCCCTTTTCCGCGTTAGCTCTTCTGCTGGTAAGACGCTTTTCATCCATGCTGCTGCCGCTTACTTGCTTAAGATGACGTCGTACTTCAAAATGGGAGTTATTCTATTCAAATATTATTAAGAAATATCTTGTCTGAAAAAGGATTATTTGATATGCATGGAAAAAATAAAGATTGTGATTTTTCAAGATATGTTATGCTAAATTGCCTCATCATGTTTTCCACTCTGCTACCTTCAAGCCACTACAGTCTTCTCGGTCATCTACGCAGTATCGTAAGCTGTTGAGAGGTCCACTGCTTTCATCTAAGCATTTTAAAATCATTACATATATATATAAATTTAAACACATTTAAATTGTAACAAACATGTATATACGTAAAGAAGAAAAGTTAAAATAATTAAAAAATGTGCAAACATATAAAAGATTTAATATTCAAACTAATGTACAATATCATTTAAATTCAGATAGCATAAGCAAATCAAGTGCAAAATCAAACCATGAAAATAAATTCACCAATTTAGCAAATTAAAATAATCTAAAAAGAATTTTTTTAGATGCATAAGTGAATGACTGTTGAGCAGGCAGGAGACAGACTTATCAAGGGGAAGTTGCCTTCAAACCTAACTCTCCAATCATTCAATTTGTGTTTCGTCATTCGTGCAGGCAAGGGTAAAAGTCAAAACCAAAAGTAAAGAGTGAAGAATGTCCAAAAAGAAATACCAATAAAGTGGTACCTTTAGAAATTAGCAATTAAAAATTAAAGTTCTAAAAGGTAAATACCAATGAAGTTTTTTGAGAAATAAGCAACGTAAAGTAAAGTATTAAATTAAGCCTTTTTAAAAAATTAAATTTTTTTAAATATTAATTTTTCAGAAAAATTAATTTAGAAACCAATGCATTTTAGAAATCCTTGTCTACAGAAACTTCCCCGACACGAATATGCATATCAATAAAAAGAAACTAAAAAAGAACTAGACATAATTTATATAAACCAATAAGAAACAAAAAGAACTAATTCATAATTTAAAAAATATATATATATACACTTAAAATGTAATTTCATATCTAGAAAATACTTAAATACTACATAAAAAGTATAAAAAAAAATACTTAAAGCAAGTAAATAGTAAGTTTTAATTCTAACTTACCTACTATATTAGCGTTGGGGTCTGCAAAAATATTTTCAAAGTGATGTAAGTGTGTTCTTCAAATTATATAGATAGCGCTTATGTAAGTAAAGTTGAGTGCCAAGCTTTGTTATATTAAAAATTTTTTGCAAACTTTAATATTAAAATATCTAAATATAAATCTAGAAAAAAATCAAATATCCTAAAAGTATGTAATTCAAGTTTTAATTTTAACTGATCAATTATTTATGGTAGGGAGTTAAGTAGCTGAGCCAATCAAGAGATGTAAGTTTGCTTTGCAAATATCATAAAAAGAGTACTAATTAAAGTAAGGTAGAGTTAAGTGGTTATTGTGAATTAATAAATGTAAACTGTTTGCAATGTGAAATGTGTGTTCAGTTGCAAAATTGTGTACATATTGCAAATAATAACGTTAAGAGAAAAAAAAAATTGTGGAAATTGCAAATAATGAAAAAATAATAAAGTAAAACTGAAATGTTTTAAAATTTTTTAAATAAGTTTTAAAGTAAAATTTAAAATGTCTTAAAAAAATTCTTAAAAAAATTTCCCAAAATTTTTCAAGTAAAAAATTTTTTAAAATGAATTCCTTAAAAAACCTCTAAAAAATTCCCGAAATCTCCCAAAAATTCCTTTAAAAAGTTAATTAAAAGTTATATTTAATGAAAGAAAATATTGAAAGTTTAATGAACTTGATTTCAACTGGTATATCAAAACTTAGCTAAATACTGGCTAAAGTATGGAAAAATAGAAGAAGATTAAAATCTTCACTCAATTCGGGCTATAATTGAGACTTTTGAAAAGAGTTGGCCCTTTATTAATAAAAGGAAAGAAGCCAGTATTGATTAAATATACATATTTACAAATTTATTTACAATAAAAATTTACAAGATAATTCCTTTACTCTTCTATATCCTCCATTACCTTCCAGCTAAGGTTTAAGGTAATGTTATCATACCAAAAAGAGCCAAAAAATTATAAAGCAAAGTTAATGCCTGCCTTTTTAATATATAAATTAATAAATTTTGGTGGTTGTATTTGTGTGTGTGTAATTTGATGAATTGATAATAGCTAAAATGGACTGGTGATGGTTCTTTCCATTGTAATATTTTGGAGAGGTTTTACTTCATAGTTAGAAGGGTAACACTTGAAGACAGATATGGCAATAATTTCTACACATAATTTTATTTTTTGGCAACTTATTTCTTGTACATGTATTCTTCTCTACTCGTCATCAATATGTGTGCAATATGCACCCCATAATTCTGTACAGCTTACATATTTTTAAATAAAGAACAAAATGGAGCAGCAAATTATGCAAGGCTAGTAGCAAGTTGAAGTAGGAAAAACGGCTTTGCACTAATAGAAACCATATTTATAGAC